TTTGGCTCTCATCAGTGCAGGGGTGTCCCCAGGTGGCATTCATAACCGACGTTTGGTGCGAACCTGACCCATCACAATACCTCTAAGCATTTATAAGACACGAGGCGTTCGACCACTGCGACATGGACAGAGCGCCCTCTGTGGCAGAAGGAAAGAACTCCAAGACAGATAATCCTGACTAGTTTTTCTGTTATATAAAAAAACATTTTGATAACATAATGATACAAACAATATGTCTCTACTACGCGGCTTTTGGGAGGGAATTCAGCAAAATTTCGAAGCAATCCAAGATATATTTGATTGTAGCGATGTTTGACAGGTCATTACACAAATATAAGTGTATTTCGAAATAAAATCAAACTTGGAGAGCCTGTAAATCCTGACTAGTTTTTTCTGTTATATAAAAAAACATTTTGGAAAATCTATTTTATTTTTTTCTACGTTATTATCAGAGACAGAGAAACTGAAAATACTTTTCCATAACTTCAAGGCTTCAAATAGTTTCATGTTAATGGATTCTTACACGAATTACCTTGATAACTCAACTTTGACAACATAAACAGTAATTGAAAAAAAATAAATTCATAACAAATCATTTTACTCATGTGAAATTTCGGGTAGATTTGATGGGGTTGTAAAGTTCCTGACTGAAATTTTGAATAGTTCCAGCAAATCGTAGATGTGAATGAAAAAAATTGATAATGAGCACTAACTTCACGCAGCGCCGTTTTTTTTTTTTTTCGAGAAAATTAGTTCTGATATATGTTTTTGTTGTATTGTGAAGAGTTCTGGAGTTCTAAACTTATTTCATCAACAGTTCTGGCGAACTAAGCAGATTATTGAATAATTTAAGAAAATAAAATACGAAGATGTGTTTCTACAGTGTGTCCATTTAGTGCGTAATTCTTCGATATCGCTTACCACATGACATTCGACGTTCTGCATAAATCATTCAGGTATTTTTGCGATATGTGCATCGTCCAAGTTTGAAATATTCCGTAATCTTGTTACTCATATGTGAAACAAACAAACATGCCAAAAGCAACGCTTATCTTTGAAACAACTTCTACAATACAAACAATGAAGATGCGCATTGCGAAAATTAGGACAAATTTTTGAAATTTGGGCCATTTTTATTGTCGTTATTCCCACAATCCAAATCTCCATTTAACCTGAAGAAGGTAAACATAATGATACAAACAATATGTCTCTACTACGCGGCTTTTGGGAGGGAATTCAGCAAAATTTCGAAGCAGTCCAAGATATATTTGATTGTAGTGATGTTTGACAGGTCATTACACAAATATAAGTGTATTTCGAAACTTGGAGAGCCTGTAAATGTTCCTATTGTAAAAAAATATATGAATGCTCAATGAACAAATTCGATTATACCGTAGCATCGCAATATTTCCACAATACAAATAAATGAAAGAACTATGACGTACAAATTACCCTGAAATAGTAGTAAAAATAAGGAAATTATCCATAACTTGACAACGCCGCAACCGATTACAATTTTTTTTTCCAGCGATAAAAAGTCGAAAGATGTCGGAATGAATTTTTGAATAAAAATACAGGGTGTTCTTTTTGAAATATCAATGTTGCTGCTACTTTCTAGTAGAAGCGGCAACACTGCATTGACAGAAATAGAATAGAATTTTCTTTGTGTAAAATCATTCTATATTCTCATTTCAATGGACATATTTTGGTCGTAAAACCAATAAGAATCGTGAAAATTGCTGCCAAATTTCTGACATAGCCCCCTACAACGGACACATTGGAGACTTTATTTAGGACACCAATATACACTCGAATACGCTTTTACCCTTGATTATTTACTCTAGTGTGAATACTCAATGCTTTCACCTATTTCCCGTGGACTAATGGTATTTTTCTTCAGATCATGGACAGCTCAGACCAGCCTAACTCCATATGTCACGTCCAGTCCATTCACATGTACCCACTGCAGCCGACCAGTCTTCAAGAGATTCCCTTCAATTTATTGCATGGAGAGAACATATTACATTCTGGTATACAATAATAATAATAATAAAAACGGGGAAGACCACTGAGGGATGAAATCCGTCCATATATCCTCCAATCGATGAATCATAATGGGCGTGTACACCTTATTAGAACTTTTAACTCAAACCATGTTTATAATGATTCTTCTATACATAAATAATGATTGACGACATAATTCGATCGAAAAATTGACTGGAATGTTTTATTTTTGAACATATATAATAGTACCTACCTTCTGAAAACGGACCCTCTTATGACGTAGAAACCTCATCTCGCCATAGTTAAAAGAAAATACCAAACGCCTGATGGAGACTGAGGCAACTGATATATTAATTCTTTCAACTTCGATCTCGCGCTAATCCACTCTGTCAGAAATCATGTATCATTCATCTCTGTCTGGAATAAATAGTCTTGTTTCAGTATTAGGGTTTTGACGTCACATCATTGCCTCGTTTTCAGAGGTCCGAAAAATCGGGGATTTCAATATTTTTTTATAAAACGTAGGGAGCTCACAGCAAGAAACGGTTTGCGGTGGTGAGCTAGTTGGGGTGAGTTCTATCGAATTATGAAATACATTTTTTTTTGTGATATAAGCCCATTTACATTTAATGTACAGTGTCCAGTTTTCGATGCTTTTGCGTGATATCTCAGTTATCTTTGGAGATAGAACCTTGCAGTTGTCGCGGTCCTGTGCCACTTTTTTTTGTGAAACTCAAGATGGATCAAGTTTTTGCATAACTGCTTCCGTTTATGAGATACAGGGCGATTTTGAAAATTTATACTTTTTGAACACCCTCTGTATCTACGAAGTTTCTTTGCGAAAATGACAAATTAAAATCTAATCCCATAGAGAATTTTACGCAGAATCGAGTGGCGCTCTCAATTTTATTTTCGGGGTATGGTTTTGGATATACGACCCAAACTTATGAATTTTCAAATGGAACACCCAGTATTTTATCAGCTCATTAAATTCATAATTTTTTTGGACACACTGTGTGTGTGAAAGTTGAAGGGAATCGAATCTACAGCGTTTGAAATCAGCATATTCCATTCGATATTTCAAAAAGCCAGAAGGTTGTAGCAAAGCACTATAGTCAACCTTCCCTTACCTCAGCCATCGTATACTTATGGTTTACGTCTCCACCGGGTATATTTTGCGACTTCCCTAGTTCATTGTTTTTTACCGATCCGCACTTTTTAACCTTTCGAGCTGTTAGGGCATCTCGGTCGACTATCTCTTTTCCTTTTCTGTTGATAGTATAATAGTATATTTTTTAACGAGCACGGAATGATGTGATTTCCTACGAGAATGTGATGGTGGACCGAGTATCTTCTGATTTTTTCATTTATTTATTCATTTTTAAAATAACATACATTTCAGCATGCTATATTAAAAGTAATATTCATTTATTTTTAATAAAAACATGATCAAAAAAGTTGAAACCTTGTCCATAATCATGTTTTTTTTTTCCTTCCACTAACTAACTTAAATTCATTTTCTCATTGAGTACAATTTACATAATAAACACATATTTATAATATTATCTAAAAATAACTATGGAAACATGTTATGTTGCATAAGTATTATTTTATATTCAATGAAATTCCCAAAATTTCTAAATTTTCAATCAACCATGATTTAATTTTTTTCTTGAATTAAAAAAAAATGATTCTTTTCAAAGAAGGGGCAATTTATTTTACATTTTTTAACTATATGAATGGCATGTTGTTGCATTAAAGTTGAAGAGAATTTATCAGTTGATATCAGGATCAGTTTCGGCGCCAACATTGTTTCTACTTCATATCAATGATCTGTTGGTAGTAAACACTTGCCCTATCCACAGCTTCACAGATGATAGTACTCTCCATACTGCGTTCTCTTCCAGATTTCCCTTTATTCTTCTCAGGAAACCAAGAACTTACGACGAAGGCACTTCAACGCTGTCAATGACAATCTTGCTGAAATAACTGCCTGGGAACCAAGAACCTAGTTATATTCACCGCCACCAGAACACAAGCCTGTATTTTCTCCAGAAAGGCAGAACTGAGTATGCCTGATATAACTATGTCTGGTACCACCATTCCCACCAAAACCACTATATCTATGCTCGGTATTTTCATCAGCAATACTCTTCCATTCATGGGATAATCATGTCAGATCCATCGCGAAAACTGTTTCACGAAAATCTACTTTACATCTCAACAGAGAACAGATACAGCCAGTTTTAGAAAACTGTTCTCACATATGCTTACTAGGATTTTATTTAGAAGGATAATGGCTCAACTATTCGTGTATTATTCAATTATCATCTATTGCATGTTCCCCACGTTTTTTGTTTTAAAGACGAAAATTATATAGTTCTTTCGTTTAATATAATAATCATAACAGTCGGAGCATCAAACTCTGCTTGATCAAAATATTTTGAGATGTTGAAGTACAAAAGTTTGATTGTAACGACATCATCGCGAATTCTATAACAAAAGCCACCAGTAAATATAATTTCGAATTGTTTCATTGATACTTGGACGATAAGAAAAATAAGCTAAAATATTTTAATTTCAAAACACACATTTCCTGCGCCAGTCCCAACAGGCCTATTGTCCTTGAGCTGCCCAATCACATTGCAACACTGCAGTATGACAAGATATCAGAGAGAGATAGTTACAGTTCGGGACTAACACGTCACGGCTCCACCTGCATATCTGGCTTTTTGAAATATCGAATGGAATATGCTGATTTCAAAACGCTTTACATTCGATTCTCTTCAACTTTAACTTATAAAATTGATTGTACATTAAATGTAAATCATGATTCGTGGATTAAAAGAGGTTTGGACGGATTTCATACCTCAGTGGCCTTCCCCTTTGAAATTTTACCTGAATTTCCATGATCATGAATTTCATGAAATTTTGCTGTACTAGGTATATCCGTCGATGGCGTTATTATTGTGACCAACTATCGGCTGTATCTGCAGGCGAGAAACAAGCCCTACCACATCCCGTCTGGGTTGATAGAGCTGGTCGAGATCAAGGAACTGTTCAATCTCTACATCGGCTGCAAAGATGCGAGAACTTACAGGTGAGAGGACATTTCTGAAATCGTCACAACGTATCAGTTCCGCACAGGTTGCCCTCCATTTATGTTTCGAAAATTTTCTTATCTCATTTTAAGAGGAATGAAAAGAAAGAACTGTAACTTGTCAGCTTGGGTGTTGCAACAATCCTCAGATGTCCTTAAATGGCTTGTGTGAGATGCCTATGGAGAGCGAACACAAACAATAAGAGAAAGTTTTTACTCTCAAATTTCCTTCCATTTCACATAACTTATCATTGTTTGTGATATGTATGTGTTTAGTATGAAATAATACGAACTGCCACGGCTAACCATATAGTCAAAACTGCTTTTACATGCATATACCAACAAGCTGTTGGGTACAGCGTACAAAAAACCTCCATAGCAATATCGGATATCGGTTCGTGATGAAAACACCAAAACATTTATATCTCTTGAATAGACATATAGAACACAATGTGTGCATTCAACCTTGCCAAACTGAGTTACACTACTGACATAAATATTTTCTAGACCATTATATTTTATATCCCAGCAACCTGAAAATCTCATCCAAACTGTCCTTCATGACATATTCGGGGTCGCCAAGGTCATTTGATGACGTTGCGGTGACATTCAAAACTACAGGAAAACATCGTTGCTTCTGGGAGAGATTGAAAGTTAGACATGTTTTCTCGTAGTATTTAATGTCATCACAACGTCATCTAATGACCTTGGCGACCGTGAATAGAGTTCCTTAATATACTTGACACTGCTTTTTTGACGTTTTTGTATATTTAAGTACGCACACTCGACAAGCAGTGACAGTGAGACATAACTAAGAACGATTTTGAAGTAAATCATATGTTTTGTCAGACAATTCTCTTAGATAAAGGCTTCTCGTATATTCGTTCAGTAAAGAGTATATCCACAAAATGAGATTGCATAGCGTCTCCTCGAGTGAGAAAGAGGGTTTGATGAATTAATTAGAAAAATAGTTCTGGAATAACAGGTCTGAAAGACCTCGATAGAGGTCGATGGCCTGTTGGTATATAAATATAGGTATACCAACGAGGTACATTATTACTATGAAATGATAATTAACTGAGTGGTTCAGTTGAATAATTTTCGTAGCACAAATGGAATAAAAATTGATGAATTACAACGAATGAAACATTTATCTGAGATGAAACATTTTCTCATATAAGAGTGGTAGGTAATAAGTAGTTGAATGAACAAATGATGTGGCTACAATAACAGGATAATAGATACATATCAATATAGAGAAATCGTATGATAGATTCATGATACTTCAGTTGAGATGAATAATATAGATTTTCCAAGACATTCGGAACAGGACACCATATTATTGCCACCATATGGTTGTACAGACTTAAGCGCTCTCTCTAGATCGCCGTTCACATAGCAAAAGGGGGTGTTGGTGCGAATCTGGCCATTGGAAGATCATTTTCAATAGCAATAAATGGTGCACGGGTTAGATGAGTGTTCTTGTCCTGTCAGCATGTTTTCAAAGTAAGAAGTTTTTCAAAATCCACTAAAAGCTGTAGAGATCCTGCACTTCAGACTTGAAATTTCATCTTTGAGAGAAGCGATACGCAAACAATCCATCTCTTAAATATGTCCATCATTTTCACAAAGTGACTATGTTTCACAAAATGCCCAGTATTTCGGACTTGAATATTAGTTTTATTTCTATTCCAACCTTTCAAGTAAACCAGAGGTTGTAAATCTCTGTTTTAAATGCTGAAGCAATAGTACAGAAATTGTTCCCTTTTATATATTTCACTAACAACTGAACTGTCTTTATTCACATTCCACCATAACAACATCAACCATGAGTGTACACATCAAAATATTATTAAAAAAATCTCCATCAACACCCAGTATTTACAGTTTGAAAAAGCACAAATTGCATCTTATGTTCCCAATTTTCTCAATTTGACAAACCTTTGAAATTGATGTTATGTACTTTCGTCTACTGTCAGTTCCCGCTTTTTCCATCAATTTATTTGTGGTTATGTCTGACTGTCAGTGCTTGTCATAATGTCCGTACTCTAATTATCCAAAAACGTCAAAACAGCAGTGTTAAGTACATTAAGTTATGTCTCCTAGGGTGAGTTTGATTACGAACCCTGTGGAATAAAGTTTATTAATTTGCATTCCAAATTTGTTAGATTGTGTATACTGGGTGTTCCAGATTATTTCATACAGCCAATATGAAAGTTATGCTGCTTGGAAAATAAAACACCCTACCAAACTTATTATTATTATTTTGAAACGTGCCTGCGAGGCTCTTGACAGAATCTCTTCATTATTTCTTCTTTTTCTCGAGAACTCTTTCTACGCATTCTCAATATGTTAGAGTCCACCGAGTCGACTCTCGGTCATAGTAGGCTTCAACTAGGTTTTCACTATCATTTATTTACTGAATGATTTCTCAATCATGCATGTTGTGCATGGTTGAGCAAGTGAAATTGACAGAGCCTGTTCAGTTATTGGATAATCCGCCATCACTGGAAAGTCGTTCATATTAAACTACTCAACACTAATTTCGTCGCACACCAAAATGTCGCCACTGTTATAATGTGAATAACTTTTTTCAGTTTAGAACAATTTGAATTTGGTTTACACTGTTCGATAGCCCAGTCCTTCAGCTATAATCTGGTACTTCATTGAAACATAAGGGTACTCACATAAAATCTCTACATGGTGTTTTCCGACACTGTGCAAAATTTCGGAATATTCAAAAGGCTCTCAAATGATGAAAAAAATTTATTTTTTTCTCAACTTCGACAACAGAGGCATGAAGATAATCTCATTACCTCGAGATATTTCGCGAATCAACTTCCTATCTCTCTTATTTGCAGAGTGATCTCAAAAAATCAACTTTTTGGTTTAGCAGCCATAACTTTTTTCCACGTCAACCGATTTTGGAAATCTTAGCCTCTTTTTGAAGATAAAACTTCAGATGAAGAGATCTGAATATCAGAATTGACTCAAGATGGCTATCAAAGATCTAGAGTTTTCTTGAAAGTGACCCAAATCTGGAACGCCCTCCGAATCTCGGTTGGGAGGAGAATTGAATGAAAATCAACTTGTTCTCGGAAGAACAATTCATTCTGGATGCGTCCATATTTTCCTCGCTCTCAGTAGTCAAGAATTGTGCATTAGAAAACACAATTGAAACATGTTCTTGCAAAAAAATTTGATCATTTCTCCTCTGTAATGCATGGCCGCCGTAACCAACGTTACAAGAATCACAATGAGTGACTGACAAACTCGACCAGCTGAGGCTCATCATAAATGGTGTACCAACAAGAGCAACGGATTTTGATTTTTTCAATAAAGTGATTTTTTTAACAGTTGTCACGAACATAACATGCGATTTAAGAATATGGAGAAGTATTCAAGCAAACAACGTTTATTTATTGTAAAAACGCATTTCAAAAATGGTGAAAGTTTCACGAAAACAGTTTGCCAATTACGTAAAGTTTTCAGTCGCAATAATGCGCCGAACGAATCGACAGTAATAACCAAACAATTCGTGTCGGAGATAAGCCCTTTGAATGGATCGGACTGTCGTGTTCAGCAGATCCGCGATTTGAAGGGAAGATAACCCTTGTTCCCTCATTTGTGGAATCAGTTCCAACTGGTCGGGCGTTAGAATCGGCATCGAAACTATCAAAATCTGTTTATGATTCGAAAACGACATCTAACCTGACTTGTCAGTCACTTACTGTGATTCTTGTAACGTTGGTTACGGGCCATGCATTACAGAGGAGAAATGGTCAGATGTTTTTGCAAGAACATGTTTCAATTGTGTTTTCTCACGCACATTCTTGAGTACTGAGAGCGAGAGAAATATGGACGCATCCAGAATGAATTGTTTTTCTGAGAACAAGTTGATTTTCATTAAATTCTCCTCCCAACCGAGATTCGGAGGGCGTTCCAGATTTGGGTCAGTTTCAAGAAAACTCTAGATCTTTGATAGCCATCTTGAGTCAATTCTGATATTCAGATCTCTTCACCTGAAGTTTTATCTTCCAAATGAGGCTAAGATTTCCAAAATCGGTTGACGTGAAAAAAAGTTATGGCTACTAAACCAAAAAGTTGATTTTTTGAGATCACTCTGTAAATAAGAGAGATAGGAAGTTGATTCGCGAAATATCTCGAGGTAATGAGATCATCTTCATGCCTCTGTTGTCGAAGTTGAGAAAAAAAATTTCATCATTTGAGAGCCTTTTGAATATTCCGAAATTTTGCACAGTGTCGGAAAACACCATGTAGAGATTTTATGTGAATACCCTTATGTTTCAATGAAGTACCAGATTATATCTGAAGGACTGGGCTATCGAACAGTGTAAACCAAATTCAAATTGTTCTAAACTGAAAAAAGTTATTCACATTATAACAGGGGCGACATTTTGGTGTGCGACGAAATTAGTGTTGAGTAGTTTATAATAATCGAGAAAAATTCGAGATTTCCTATAGAAATCTTCTTCTCTCATGTCCAACATATTAAACGGATGCAGAATGGCTATCCGGATGAATTACTTCAATGCACAAGAGTAAATGAGATATATGACAGGTCCCTAATGCGTATCCATGTCAGATGATTTAAAACAGAGATACAATGTGCTCACTGACGACACTAAACAATGGTTGCTATGTATTTGAAAACAAGCAAATGTATCATGAGATCCTAAACTCTGTGATTATAATTTTGAATTCCCAATATTTTTCATTTATCATTGTGACGGTCTTTCAATAGTGTTTTTGAAAAAACATTGCATAACGTTAGATGTACTATTTCATTTTGTGAGGGAAAATTTGGGACACGAGCATAGCTTGAAGAATTATTTCGAAGTGCAAATATGATAGAAAACGTTTGAAATCAATTTCAATGAACAATGTTCCAAAAATACTTGTTCTCCACCTGAACCGTTTCTCACAGATAGACAGGTCCACAGAGACAAAGAACGACATCGTCTACTTTCCTTTAAATGGCTTAGACCTAAGTCACTACGCGACTGACGGTGTTCTAACTGGCAGATTCGACCATCATCTCCAATCATATCGGTTCCATCTACACCGGACATTACACGGCCTATTGTAGACACACATATCCGAAAGTTTGGTATGAATACAACGATTCTCGTGTGTCTTTGTCAAAATCTCTTGTCAGTGGGGAAGCATACATTATGTTCTTTTTTGTTCAACAAAAGAGGGACCTATTTCCCTATGTTGATATTGTGTTAATATGTTTGGGATATTTCATTCAATAAAGCCATTGATTCAATCATTTGTTTCAGGTGTACATTTGAAAACAATGAGAAATGTCAGGTGTGGTACGAGCGTATCCTGAAAGCAGCAGAACCTCCGAGGCAGGTGGAGCAGCTCTTCGCTTTCTATCATTACATCTGGTCGAAAGAGAAGGGCAGCGATGACGTCATTGGTCAAATCGAGAACCAACGTCGCTATACTTTCGATCGAAGATCATTCGAAAACGAGGTAGGTTTTGGGAATCGATGCTCATTTCTCGGATATTATCGGAGATATGTTCATGTGATTGTGCCAGGACTGCTCTAACTTGATTTCCTTGAAAATAACGATCTTTTGTACAGTGGTCAATATGGATTCCGTATGTCAAAGGATACAGAGATAGCAGTGATGGATGTAATTTCGGACATCCAGTCACGGATAGATGAACATTTTTAAATTCTGGCTTCTTATATTAGATATATGTAAGGCATTTGACACTGTAGATCATACCATTTTACTTAATAAATTATATTCAATAGGTGTAAGAGGAAGAATTCATGATTGGTTCACCAATTATTTGACAAATATAAAGCAGTATGTTGAAGTGAATGATACTTGTAGATCATTTATGAATATCACATGTGGAGTACCGCAAGGATCAGTTTTGGGACCAATTTTATTTTTAATTTATATAATTTCAATATCAACCTTGAAATTGAAAGGAAAGATCAAATTGTTTGCAGATGATACAACATTCATTTATGTATTGAAAGAATTAACTGATATCGAACGGGATGTTGAAAGTTATTTGGAGAACATATCATCTTGGATGCAAATTCATAAGTTGATTCTTAATTTTAACAAATCTTCATATATTATGTATATCTCCAAGAGATTATGTAATATTTAAAATAATGCAACATCTTTCAACAATAGACTCATCAAATATACAGAGGTAACAAAATTTTAGCTCTCTATAATGATGAAAAAGTATTGTGGGACTAAACACATAGACCATTTGAGAAATAAAATAAATCCACTCATAGGTATTTTATTCAAAATCCGAAATATCATTCCTGTGGAATACCTAAAGTGTATTTTTTACTGTTGCCTCATATATTCAAATTTACAATATTTAATTTCTATTTGTGGGAGCACAAATATTTCACGCCTCAAACCACTAATGAAATTACAAAACAAATCAATTAAGTGCATTTTTCATCTAAATTTTCTAGAACCAACAGTAAATTCATATAAACCTAGAAAATTTCTAAATCTGATTTTGTTATATAAACTGAAGATATTTTGTTTCATCTACTTTGTCAGGAATAAATTTAAAATATCGAACTTAGCTTTTAATGAAGTCAATACAGGCCATACTTGTGGGACTAGACATATCTATATTTTATAATGGAATAATTTTATACAATTCATTACCGAATGATTTGAAAAATATACATGTTGTAAGCAGATTCAAAGTCAATCTTAAACAATACCTGGTAAGGACAATTTGATTGAAAAATAGTTGGCATGATCTGATTACTCAGAAAATGTATAAATTTGTTTACACTGAGTGGAATTCATTAGTCGACATTTTAATATTATTATTATTATATGTATTCATGCATCCCTATTATAAACAGATATGTTTCTTGGGGTAATAAAAACAATCAATCAATCAAAACTTCGAGGGACGGTTTATCGATTGCCGATTTTATTCGCTAGATAGTTATCCACTAGATGATAGTAGCCTGCAAAACCGTTCCAGATTTTTTCTTTCTTCTAATTTTCCTTCACTAAAGTAACTGAGGGGTAATATATATCCCTAATGGGGAAGCTGCACACAAACATTGAAATTCTAACTACTGCTGTCTATGTTTTGTCTAAGATTAGAATTAGTGGAAGTTCTCCAACACGAACGAAGGCCTTATCCAGCAAGGAAAAGAGTGGATAATTCAAGAAAATGAGATGATCATGATTTTAATGAAATATTGAGGATGTAGGAAGAAACTGTGTATCGTCAATATTATAAGTCATTGAGGATTCACTTGAATTTCATCCAATACATTTTTTTCTTCAGGAATGAAATTGCTTCCTCTTCTCATTTTATTCATATTATTATCCATATTGCTGAACACTACCACAAATCAGAACATGAATTATGTAGGAAGTAGGTATATTATAGGTTATCCTGCAGATATCTCACTTATCTGCCAGTTGAAACTGAGAGACAGTATTTTGTTTTTGAAAAGTATGGTTGAGATATTTTGGGTTTATAGGTCGCGTGTACATCTGACAGATTACCGACTGGAGGTAAAACAACCTCACTTCTTATTTATTCACAAAGGAATCGACGGATTGAAACGAATCGTGTTTTTAGGCTACTTATTTATTCAAGCATGCTATTGTGCTGTTGTACAATGCACAAAAAAATGTAGCGAGAGACGAAGGAATAATATTCACTCGCATAGTTTTTATTTATAAAATTTGTCATCAGGCCCTGATTAAGAGTTCTGACCGCCCTAGGCTAATTATGAGGACGCGCCATGAGTATTACGGTCGGCCTAAAAAGTAGTATATAAGTCTTGACTTTGTTTACTAGTGTTAAAATTTTGACATGGTTCATACTACCTATAAAACTTTTCGACTTGAAGTATTTTTTATATATTTACATTTCTGTAATCTTAAAGACGAGAGGCATCATACAAGTGAAACATTTTTGCAACTGATTAATGTTTTATTTGAAAATTATAATAATCGAGTAATTATTATATGCTTATAATAAGGTCTTTTTTCTTGCTTTAGCGTTTGCAAATCTTTCCACAATTTTTTCAAATTCGAGTATGTTTTGAAATGTTTTCTATCTTCTTTTCCTTTTCTTTTGCTTATTTTTTCTGTATTTTGCTCCACTTGGCTTTTTAACAATCGAACTACTCTCATTACCACTCATAGTCTTGAAAAAACACGGAAACACTAAGAAGAGGACAATAAATGTCAATTACCAAAAACGAATATATGTTATAACTGACAACGGACGAACGATTAGATGATTCCGAAAGAGAAGGCAAATATGCGCGGCGAGCTGCGCTATTGCCAGCTCACTCACTCGCTCGCCACCAACCGATTCGAGTGACAAGTGTTTGTTTTACGCGCGCTTTTTAAAATTTCAAAATTCATTGTTAAAATCAGGGACTATCAAGCGCATTTAGTTTTATTGTTTTGTCTCGGTCTAGTTGAAATATGTAGGGTAGATGCAGTGATGCTAGATTAGTGCATGCGAAGACACGATTTTAGCGCGTCTTGCGCGGCCCCCCGATCTTCGCGCCCTAGGCTGCAGCCTAATGGTTAATCAGGCCCTGTTTGTCATTTCTATTTAGAGTTCCTTCTACCACTTCTGCAATGGAAGCTAATAAAGTAAAAATGTCTACAACACACACGACCATATTTCGTCAGCATGCCCATGCCCCGTTTGATTGTACGAATCCAAGCTTCTTGCCTTCTTTTAGAAACGTCACAAGTCTTTTTATTAGCTTCTATTGCAGAAGGAATTCTAAAGAGAAATGACAAAATTCCAAAATGAAAACTATGTGAGTGACTACAGTACTTTTAGATCAAAATTTAACTACCTGATAAATCGTATTCCTTCGTCTCTTCTTGAATTTTTTGTGCATTGTACAACTGCACAATTTGATGGCATGCTTCCATAAATAAATAGCCCAAAAAACACGATTAGAATGCCAAAATAATTGTGAAAAACTATTTCAATCGTTTGTAAACAAATGAGAAAGGTTTACCTCCAGGGTAGTGGTGGAAGACGATCGATAGTATCGATAGTTTTGTACTATCGAAACAATCGATAGTTTTTGAATACTATCGATAAACTATCGGTTCCAAATTTGTACAGGAACCAATCTATTGTCCCCCAGAGTTCAACAGTCACCGAATAACAGTTAAGTAAAAAATCGCTCTTGAGGTCAGCTCCTAAGGTAATCTGAAAAAACAATTTCAACAAGGAGAATAGACTCAAATGAAAATTATAATGTTGGAACAATGTTTTCGTTGTATCTAGCTACATCTGTCAGAGAGAATTTTCTCCAAAACTGGTCAAATAAATCAGTGACAGGAGAGAGGCTCAAATCTGAAGTCATGGACGGCCCTATGAGGGGCAGAGGGAGTAGGTCATCAAAACAGATCGGTTTTTGAATTTCATTCATAGAATAAATTGTGAAAATGAAATCAACAAGAAAATTCACAAAAATATGGAAATTGAAAATGAAACAGCAAAATTGATTCATTCTGAAAACAAACCTAGCTATCCCCCTAAAGATCCACCTCAGGATCGCACTTGCCTGAAGTAGTGAAATTCAAAATGTTCAATTTGGATGAATTTTTTGCTATTCATTTTTCTCTTCAATATTTCAAAGATTTTTGTTCCTGATGATTTGTACCTGAATCATCCATATAGACCACATATAATGTTCTTTGCTATTCATGCGTTTAATATCACCTGTTTTCGCCAAAGTATTGATCGAAGTGGAAAAAAATACATTGAAAATGAGGACAAATATATATTTCGAACTGAATTATAGATCGACAGTACCATGGATAGTATCGATTGTTTTTGAAAAAACTACCGAAACTATAGATAGTTTTTCACTTCTTCTCCTGATATTTTCAGATGAGTAGACATCAGTTTCAAGGCCATTCCTGGAGGATCTCTAAAGTCAACGAGAATTACAAGTTCTGTCCCACTTATCCGCCGTACCTGCTCGTCCCGTCTTGCATCAACGATGACATGTTGGAGAGCGTCGCAAAGTTCCGGAGTTCCAGGCGGATACCTGCCGTCGTCTGGAGGTACATTATATTTCTAATGGTAAACATGATGGAAAGTCCTAGTTTCAAGTGACACAAGGCAATGAAACTAGGGATTTCAATTTTTTCCATCATTATCTAAACTGGTCAACATTGATAACGTCGTGGTCCGAAATATAGCCTGAATTCAAAGTAGAATAACTCAAGAATTTCCTTACCAATTTGAAATCGGTTTTCACCGATGATTAGCCTAATCGCTTGACAGTTTGTTGTCGCACTGTGAAACTTCTGTAATTTTAGATAACATTGCAACAGGGTGATAATTGAATGGGTATAAAATTGCATCGTGGCCTTCACTTAACCGTTTGAACAGATAATTTTTTTAATTTTTTTTCTCATCTGTATCCTCTTCATTGATGCTTTCTCTCAGATCTTTTGATAATCATGTTATGAATATTCATTCAAAATGATGATAGATGACTCTCCCATGGAAAATTTGAGAAGAATGATAGTTTTCAAACCAGAACAATAGCATTCATCGATATATCTCGACATGTTAAATAAATTCCTTAGTTTTCATGATATCAAGTGTAGAAATCCATTACGTCTACTTATTTTTTCAAGACATGCAAGAAACGGAGCGGTCATAGTTCGTTCCAGTCAGCCCGAAGTCGGTTGGCTGGGTTGGAGGTCGGCCGAGGACGAGGATCTGATCAAGGCCATATCGGACGCGTGCAGTTTCGACCACTCGTTCCGCACGTTCGAGAAGGAATCGAATCTGTCCACTTCGCCTGGCTCCTATCAATCGGACGAGTCCTTGCAAATCACCAATAACATCGGCGTACAAGAAAAGAAAGTGAGTACTGTTGTATCATTGCTATAGGTGAATCTTGCTAAGGAGTACGCCATCTGCCGTTGTCTAATATCACTAGCGTATGGGCCATTGGATGCTTTGTTTACATCAGTTTGCGTGTGTTTTGTATGAGAAGTAGTTGTGTTTCAATGGAAGTATAAATATATCCCTAATACCTTTTCAAAATCAGGACAATCCAAATTTGTATTTGATACTAAGTTGGGAAATCAGGAAGTGATCGATAGAAGAAAGGTGTGGATTCATAACTTGAAGATTGAAAAAAAAGTGTCTGAAAATACAGGGCGCATTTTCCTGCTGAACATTTATCTGCAAGGGAATTTGATGTGTAATTTTTAGTTTTTAAATTATTCGCAAGAAATGACCAAAGGTCATGGACATAAGGACATAAGGACAAAGGATTAATCCTTCATCCAAAAGAAAATCTGTAAGAAGCATTGTTTCTGAATGTTTATGTATTATTCGCTCCAAGTTGTCCATGAAGATTTCAGCAAGTAAAGGGCTCAGTGGATTTCATATAATCAACCCTTTTGACGCGGAATATATTTTGTTGTCAAATCGAAAGTAATTTTGTTTGAGACATATCGACAGGAGGTCTAAGATCTCTTGTTTGATGATCGGATTAACATGGTTTTTATCTAATAACTGCTCAACTAAAAGTATGGTATCTTCGGGAGGTATACTTGAAAAAAGGTTTACGATAATTTAGAAATTCTGCACTTAGAAAATAAAAGACTTTCGAGTTAATCCGGTATACCGTAATTTAATGTAGATATTGTGCCTTATTTCCGAAAATGGAGGTTTATCGTACCTGTCCACAGGTAACTAATCCTTCAGGTTGGGAAAGTAAGGTATATAAAAGTTAAACAAGCCAACGTTAGTTTAGTTCATTGTACCAGTATATCACCTGACGAAGCTACTGTGTTAGCGAAACATGTCCTGTGTTTGAGAATTTTGTGGAAATCTGATCGTTTGTGAAGTTTTTACATAAATAAAGGTTTTTGATGATTGTGTTGTGAAAAGTCTAGTAAAAAATATATAACTTTACCTTCCAAAGAATATTTTATTCCCAAAAGGTATGCGTTATTTCCTTCTGCAAATATCATGCTATCAGGGGATTATCCTAGCAATCTCTTCGAATTGGAATCAACTACCTACGCAGGTTTCCATGATAATTCTTGTTCAATGTTGATAAAAACTTACAGCTTATGCATATTGGTATATATGAATTTCAACTAGAGGTAGGTAGGTTATCTAATGTTGAACAGAGATAATATAGCCCCCAATTGAAACACAATAAACCAAAAAAAAAACAAGTTTGAAAATATACAAATAACAAAGCTGAACGTTTGAAAACGAAATGAACCATTACCAAACAATGTAAACAAACCTCCATTGGCCCATAGAGTAGTACCGACATTCGCCGATCTGGCGCTATGATCTTAATCTCAGTCGCTTAAATGCTACATACTCTTAAGTTTCAATTACTATTAATGTTCTATGTCATATGTAAATTTATGACGACTGACTTTCGTCAGATTCCAAAAGTAAGAATTATTCGCGGGAATCAATGTTACCAGGTGGCGCTCGGTTTTCATCGTTCCATGTCAAAGCCACGTCGAAACTGGGGGAAAACAAACTCAATCCTCACTCAATCCCATTAGTGCCATTAGCTTGTGTACTGTGTACTGATAAGAGTGATGATACTCTTTTAAATTTCTTGACATTAATTGTCAATATTCGATCGAAAACGCTAATAATGCCTGTTGTAGATGTTCTTTTAGCAGATATTTTGCTCTATTTAGACGGAGAAAGCCGACCAGTAGTGGAAGGAGAAGCAGTTCTCCGTGCTAATCATGTGATTTTGTGTGAGGCAGAAGATTTCAACAAAAGGCACATTTTGCACTTTGACAAACTTCGGCGATGAAATGTTCCACACATGAAGTAAAATTGAAGTTGGGGTCCAGAGGAACTCCTGTAGAACAATGGATTTGTATTTGTTCCTGCAAAGCAGGAAAATTTGGGTATTGTAAACATGTTGATTTGCTCGTCATAATTAGTTTGAATTGTTTGAACTATCTCCAATGGGCGAGTACACCTCAGTAGTACTTTTAACTCAAACCATGTTTATAATGATCCTTTCATACATAAATAATGATTGACGACATAATTCGATCGAAAAATTAACTGGAATGTTTTATTTTCGGACATAAATAATAGTACCTTCTGAAAACGGACCCTCTTATGACGTAGAAACCTCATCTCGCCATAGTTAAAAGAAAATACCAAACGCCCGACGGAGACTGAGGCAACTGATATATTAATTCTTTCAACTGTGATCTCGCGCTAATTCACTCTGTCAGAAATCAAGTATCATTCATCTTTGTCTGGAATAGTTTTGTTTCAGTATTAGGGTTTTGACGTCAAATCATCGCCTCGTTTTCAGAGGTCCAAAAAATCGGGGATTTCAATAATTTTTTATTAAACTTAGGGAGCTCACAGCAAGAAACGGTTTGCGGTGGTGACCTAGTTTGGGTGAGTTCTATCGAATTATGAAATAAATTTTTTTTGTGATATAAGCCCATTCTTCACCCGTTCACTGTTCACTAAACTAATGAAAATGTAATAATGTAAAAAAATTAACCAACTCAACCATCATCACTACCAACAGTGCCAACACTTTATGTCATTGAAAAGTTTGACTACAGCTACAGCAAGCTGAATGCAATGTAGTCTATGCACTTTATCCATAGACAACAGTTTGTTTTCCCCCAGTTTGAAGTTAGTATTATGTAACCTAGATGTCGCCCACTTCGTGAATCTCGCGAATTATTGGCGCGATTAGCTAGGGTGTGGCAAGATCATTTGGTAGGGCTAGAAAATCGAGATCAATCTAATGCTGAACATTTTGATGCTATTAAAGGGTAATGAATCAACACGGTGATTTATTGATAATCATACTGTCTGTAGGCTGATCTTCTCGTGAAGTAGTTGTAAAACTCACAACTCCCTAAAACTCTTCTCGTATCAATGTACAGGGTGAGTCATAACTATTGGGACATGGGCCAAGGGTGGATTGTTTGGAACAAAATATGGCGATAAGACCAAGTATGCCGTAATAAAATATTGCTGCGGTAAAATATACAGGGTGTTGAAGTTGAATTCCTTAGCTCGTTAGTTATTCTACAGTTTATTATTTAATTTATTAATTGATGAAATTTTTTAAATAAGAGTACAAATGAATGCAAAATAGAAACAATAGTTTATGACACACGTTTTGAAAGACATATTGTCGCACTAGTTTTTTTAGAGTACTCCTTGTTTCGCTAGAATTCCAAACAACGCGTTGCTCAAAATAGTGACTTATATAGAATGATTTTGATTTGTCGTTTCGTCTCAGTTTCTGATAATGGACGCCAGATCGTATACGACCGCGGTGGCGAACAGAGCCAGAGGAGGAGGCTGCGAATGTCCCGAGTATTATCCGAACTGCGAGATCCAGTTCATGAATCTGGCGAACATACATTCCATACGGAAAAGTTTCCACGCCTTGAGGCAGCTGTGTAACTATTCGGCGGACCAAATCAAGTAAGTGTAAGCATCCATTCGATCTTAGATATCAACTACAAAATAGCCAAAATGCTCAAAGTGAAATGGGCACAGTTCAAATGTTCCTCCAAAAAATTTACGAATCCATATTAAAAGACCAAATGAACAACTATTTTGAGGCCAACAACATCTTTACCACGAACCAATTCGGCTTCCGTAACAAAAGAAGCACTACCTTAGCTATTAACAGACTAACTGAATTCGTTTCAGAGGGTTTTGAGAACAAGCTCAATACATATACCTCTTTCCTGGACCTTACTAAGGCATTCGACTGCATATCCTTTGAAATTCTCTATAAAAAGTTATTTTACGACAACTTCGATATGAGCAGCGTATCCATTATCCAGTTCTATCTTGAGGAACGGAAACAATATGTTCTTTTCAAAAATCAACCCTCAGGAATAAGAGGCATTCAGCATGGTGTCTCCCAGGGCTCAGTGTTGGGTCCCCTGTTGTTCCTTGTATATATCAATGACCTACCAAATACCAATAATCTAATGAATTCACTGATAATCCTATTTGCTGATGATACCACATCATTGTTACGTCACCGTCCCTCTGACCCAATTCTGCAGTGGACTCAAAGTAGTCAAGTCCGAATTGAGAACTGGTTTCTAGCCAATAGGCTTAGCCTCAATAACAGTAAAACGCAATTCATTAATTTTACATTACAAACTTCTCCACCGAACCTAGAAAGTGATGCATCTGTGAAGTTTCTGGGGGTTCACCTAGATCCTGGACTGTCCTGGGAAACACATATCACTCAGCTTAGCTCCAAACTGTCTAGAATCACCTTCTTGATAAGGAGTTTGTCAAGAAGTGTCTCTATGAGCACATTATTGACGACATATCATGCTTACTTTAGCTCCACCATGACTTATGCAATTTTGAACTGGGGTCACTCCCCAAACTGCTCAAATTTTCAAGTTACAACGACGTTGTGTTAGAATTATTGCAGGTATCAAATACCGCGAATGCTGTAGAGATGGCTATGTTAGGCTGAGGCTGCTCAACCTTCCGTGCGTTTTCATTTTCCACTGTCTAGTGATTTTCATTCATATTCGACTAGGGGGGGAGGGAATCTGGTGCCCGGCTACCTCAGGCTGCAACGTACTAGAAGGGGAACCGATTATTATGGCATCAAATTTTTCAATGCTCTACCGACAGATGTTAAGCAGCTAAATCTAAATAGCTTCAAATTTAGATTCAAAAACCATTTCCTAAGAAACGCCTTCTATTCCCTCGAGGAGTACCTTGAGAGTGACTTAAGGACATTTTAGTTTTATATGTAAGACCTATTTTAATATGTAAAACCTATTTTAATATGTAAAATGTGTGTCGTTCAATTCACTTTTTAATTTTCAAGTATTTTTCTTGCTATATTATTATCATTCAAACAAGTTCTATACTTTATAATAATAATAATAATAATAATAATTTTATTGCTTCTAAAACAAGTTTACAGCAAGAGTTGTATGGTGTTTGAAAAATAACATCAAAATTAGAGTGAGAAAAAATACTATATAAACAATGAAGATTGAATGAAAATTTGCCAACGCAGTGGATTATTCATTCATGACGAGACAATGGACATCATCAAATCAATATACCTACTTAATATCATTCACTGATTATGAATGAACGTAACCTGAGAATATTCCATATATACTCAGAAATTTCTTTGGCTACAGAAATTGTTGGATTTTCTAATGCGTTGATGAGTGCTTCCACATTCTGAAGGCACTGTTTATGTTTCATTACAGTATAAATCGGGCATTCAAAAATAATATGGAATAAGGTTTCTTTTTCGTTTCAAACAGAACATATCAGATCTGGGTCGATCGAATATACAATTCCGTTAAATGTAAACTTGATCCTAAAATGATTGGACATGCGCAATTGTGCAAGAGTGCGGGTAATCTGTATGGGTAACTTCAACAGTAAATATGTACTTGGTTCCTTTGAAGTGCCCAAAGCATTGTATATGTTCATGAAGGGGTAACGAGATGCTATGTTAACATCGCTGTCAAACAAATAGTTGTAATATTTATCCAGTATCTTTTTCTTATTTGCAATCAAAGTTTGAGCATTCAAAGTATTCCAAAATTCTTGAGATCCGCTATCAGTAAAAAGTTGTTTAATTTGAAGTGCCCAATTATATTTTGATTCCGTAGAGCTTATTAATCTTACTTGATGTTGAAAACACAGTCTTGGATAACGGTTATCTTCCATTGTAAAAATCTTATGTAACCAGTTTAGTGTGATTTTGTATATGTTATATGATAACTTAACTCTTCCAGTTTCCAAACGGATTATAGCATCAGGTGTGTTGATGGGCACCAATAAAATTCTTTTAAGGAAACTAAGATGTACTCTTTCTAATACCTCCATGTATCTAATTCCCCACACTGAAACAGAATTGAACATAACACTCATGGCTAATGACTCGAATAATTTCATTCGTGGATACCAGGTGTCAATTTTAGATTTAGCTAGAATGGGCAGTAGCGAACCAACAGCCTGTTTTCCTTTAACTCTGGCAACTGATGACATTTCATTAAATAGGCCTGAAGAGGTGAAAGTTACTCCTAAGTAAACATACTTGTTCGTCACCTCTATTGGGTGTCCATTGAAATGAAAAACATAATTAGGTTTACGAAATCCGCCTCGAGAGAATTGCATAATTTTAGTTTTCTGTAGATTCACAGTCAGTTCGTTACAAGCAGTGTATGATTCTAATATTTTTAATTTTTTCGTCACATCAATCTCTGAATGAGCAAGAATTACTAAGTCATCTGCATACAGCAGTGCTAATACATCATTTTGACCGTCAATGTTTACACCTTGGGACCCTCTATCATAAAAGAATGTTTCTAAATCAGCTATGAAGAGCGCAAATAAAAGAGGGCTCAGAGGTTCGCCTTGCAGAACACCAGTGGTCAACTCGAATAGTTTAGATAACCCATCAGAACCTTTTATTTGGAAGTTTGCATTGGAATACAATAGTTGTACTATCCGAAGAATTTTAGCTGATATTCCAGCATTAAATAATTTGTTCCAGAGTAGGTAATGATTGACAGAATCAAACGCTCTTTTAAAATCAACGAAAATAGCGAATAACTTCCGTTTTCTATGTCTGATATGGAAATTAATGACAGAGCTAAGGGTGTAAATATTGTCTACACATCCTCGACCTGGGCGAAACCCAGATTGGCATTCAGGTAGAGCTTTGGAATCATCGATCCACAAATTGAGTCTATTGAGAATAAGGGTTGTGAATATTTTAAGACAACAGTTCACTAGGGCCAAGCCTCTGTAGTTTTCAGGACTTTTTGTTGAGCCACCTTTGTGCAACATAGTTATCAAAATATTATGCCAGGTTTTGGGCACAACAGATGAATCAAAAATTTTGTTAACTAAGACTGTTAAGTAAAGTACCCAATTATGTGGTAGATTCCGATAAAACTCAAATGGAATACCATCTAGGCCTGGAGATTTATTATTTTTACATCTGCCGAGTACAGAATACACTTCGTCTGTAGAGAATGGTGAATCTAAATAGGGATGACAAGCGTCTTGAAAGTTCAATAGAGATATGTTTCTAGGAGGGTAGATATTTTGGTAAAAGTTTTCCCATACTTCAACGGATAAAGTTTCACGTACAAAGTGGTTTCGAAACTGCTTTATAGTTAACCAGAATTCTTTTTGGTTTCTCAGGTTTGTCAGCTTTGTAATTATTTCAGACTCGAATTCATTTTTCTTTATTTTCAACAGTTTCTTGTACTCGCATTTTGAGCGTATGTAATTTGTTCTCAAGTCTTCTGGAAAACCGTGTTTCTTACATTGTTTTAATGCGATTTGCATTGTTTTTTTAGCAGTGAAGCAGTTATTATCAAACCACGGTTTATTTGAATTTTTCAATTTATTATTTCTGAACGTTTTTTTATTGCAAACAAGACCTAAATCGGTGGCGACCTCATGTATGGCAGCACCAAGATTCTCAAACGATTCGTCAGAATTAGCTATATAATGGGCTCTGTTTGACCGCTTCATTCTAAGTTTATAATCCAAACATGACTCATTTCTCCATTTGAGTACAGTACGAAAATCATCATTATTCGGGAGATCAGAGCGCATATTTTCCGGTCGACTATTAAAGTTGAGAGTCAAATTTATTGGAAAGTGGTCAGAGAGAAAGTCATCTTCGCCAACGTAAAAATTATTTACGTCCGAAATACATATACTGTTCACCCATGCCAAATCCACACTCAATTGAGAAGAATTCATCCCTGATAAACTACCCAACTTTCGATAAAAAAAAATTCATTAGGATGAACTAGAGTCCCATGATGGAAATTGATGTTAAAGTCATCTTAAGAGACAAATGAATATCAGAAAAAACATACAGAGCGACCTAAAAAACCAGAGGCAGATAAAAACCGTTTTTTAGTGTTCCACTTCTTCAAAAATATTTGGTCTGGTTTAAAAACTTTGCATTTTAGCATTGAAACGATGACGTCATCGGAGAATTATTTCAAACCACTTGGCACTGTTTTGAAACGACGGAATTGAATGATTCAATGCTGTCAACTGTCATTATTAACTGTTGTTTTTGTTGTTGGTATTCCTCATTCTGTTCAAACTTTTAAATACGACAAAGTCTGCTTTGAAATGTACCAAGTGAATATTGATGACATGATTTTTTTAACTGTTGATGGAAAAATAGATAAAAATAAAAATTCTAACTCACTTTTCAACCTTTTCAACACATAAAATCTCTAAAATATGTAAAATAACAGCTCTGGCTAGTGGTTTCTGTGGTAGTCAACAAACAAAACAAAAACAACCAAATGACAGCTGACGAAGGACGAAATTTATTTCAAAAATATGACATTTTGGCGACCATGTAAATCATGACGTAATATCGAATATGTTTTCAAACCATCATTGACTACTAGACTGTTGGCCCACGACACAGGGTTTATCGATGTTCTAAGTCGGTATGCCATTTAAGGGACCCACTCACTTAGTCCAAGTTAACAGGAAGGAGGGCCTCGGAGAGTCGCAACCCAGTCCTTGCCCCGGCCCTGACCTCACCTTCCTGTTGGAAAAAAGTTCAAAATTTTGTTTAAGAAGAAGCTCGGCAATGAAGTGCAATGATCTTATCTCACGACAATTGGGGCGCTTGCTGGTTTGCATACGCCTAGGTCACTCCCCAAGGGAGGCATACGAACCGGAAGTGGCAATTTTTCAATGTTATAGTCGATGATCGAAGAATGTATGCCCTTTGGCGAAACAATGAATTCTCATTCGTTAATCAGTTTCCTGACATTTGCATA